TATGCAGCAATGTTGGGCGAGGGCTATTTTTAGTTCGAATCATATTGTTGTTAATAATATTTTCAAATGAAAACCGATGTTACTACTGCTTGTCATCAGGCTCCCGGAACCTAGAGCTCTGACTTGCATAGGTCCAGCCTGAGCCTAGCCACTTACCCACGAGTGAGCCTTAAAGTGACATAAAACGTAAAAATTCGTATAAAAATTGTATATTAAAATTTTATATATGTACCACTCTATTATATCTTGAATGATTATTATGTTAACACCCAACTTATTTCAAACAAAAACTCATAATTTCCCAGTTACTTCATGTTTTATGATTATTTAAATTATAACCATGATTTTTATTATCGTAGTTCATGATTTTTGATATTATTAACTTCTCATAAGGTAAGTTATTGTAATGGGCCGAAAGTCGAAATTGAAAATTTTTACATTTCTCGACGTTTTGAAGGTTTCTGAACATTTTGGCATTTCTCAGAAAAAATGAATGTGTGTGTATGTATGTATGGATACAAATTTCCAGTCATGTTTTCGGGCACACTTATCATCCGATTTGAATGGTTCAAAAAACATTCGATTCCTATTGATAGGGAGGTGAGCTGAATAGTTTTTGGCAAGGGCAGGTCCAGCAGTTACGGAGATAAAGAGCAAGGAGTGCAGAAAATAGAAATCGAGTTTTTGAGAGAACGGAGCATCCGATTTGAATGATCTAAAAAAAGATTCAATTAGTAATGATTGGGAGAAGTGTTTATTAGTTTTTGGCAAAGACAGGCCCAGCCATTTCGAAGATACGGAGCTAAATGTGTAAAATATGGCAGTTTTTTAAAGAACTAAGCGTCCGATTTAAATGATTCAAAGAACTTTCTGCTTGTCTTAACAAAATAATTGATTTTGGAAAAAAAAATTGTTTCAACTTTTTTGTTTCAAAAAAAATTTTCTTGTATATCGAAAATAATTCAGATTTTATTTTTAATTCTGACTATAGTTCTAATATACTTTAAACAAATAATTTCAACTTTGCAATTCAGTTTATATAATTCTTATAAATATTAGACAATGTTACTTAAATAATCTATTTGAAAACATTCAGTATCACTCGAACATTTCGTTACGGTACGGGAAGTTCCAGCAATTTGCCTTAAGGCACGATGCCATACACCCCACTAGTTTATTTGTTTATTTTTATTATAACAACTAATTTTAATAATACATAATATTATTATGCAATTCTACACTAAACTAAATATTATTCGAAGAACAAATGTTTATTCAATAACCTTATTTAATTTAATTTAAAGAAGATAACACATAGCTTTAGATTGAGACCAATTTTACGCAATTTCAATTGTTTTAGTTTTATCAATATTGAAATTTAAACGAAATATTTTTTGGCGCCATTGCACCGTTGCATTTTGGCAATACTTGCATGACCCGATGTCAGGACGCTCGCCTTCCGCTCTTTGCAGTGTTCGAGTGCTCTTGCTGGCTCTGTTCGGTTTCGGTCTCTCATTTAGTCCGTCGTAAGGCGTTTTGTGCGGCGTTAGAGGGGATATCTAGCGAAGCGATTGACGTCAAACGCACGACGGGAACAAGGCAACTATTCACATCTGATGTATCGTGCGGGACGTCGAACATTCAGTGAGTTTTGATTTTTCGATCATAAAATTTATAGTCGAATCTTTAATTAGTTTTTATTAGCACTAACTTTTGTACTTATATGTTTATTCGCGTGCTTTCTCTGTGAGCTGTAAAACATCTGCTTGTACCCAAACATATATTTTCTTATTCATTCTTATACTCATGGTTTTAATGATTTTCTTGAAAAATTGAATTTTATTTAGATTTGATATTTCAACGATGAAAGATCAATAATACAGATTATTTTATTAAATGTACACAAAATTTGGATACAAATGTTATATAGGCTTATACCCAAACATCTATTTTCTTATATATTCTTATACCCATAGTTTTAATGATCTTCTTTTAAAATTGAATTTTATTTTATTTAAATTTGATAAAAACTCTGATAGGTCAATAATGCTGATTATTTTATTAAATATACCCAAAATTCGGATACAAATGTAATATAGGCAAACTTGAAAATTTTAAGTTGTTTGATTTTAACAAGTTCACCATCAGTATCAGTATTATTTTATTAAATGTACACAAAACTTAGATACAAATGTTACATAGGCTTATATCTAAACATATATTTTCTTATTTATTCTTATGCTCATAGTTTTAATAATCTTCTTTTAAAATTGAATTTTATTTTATTTAAATTTTATATTTTAACTCTGATAGATCAACAATACTGATTATTTTATTAAATATACCCAAAATTCGGATACAAATGTAATATAGGCAAACTTGAAAATTTTAGGTTGTTTGATTTTAACAAGTTCGCCGTCAGTATCAGTGTCGACAAGGCAAATAAATTAAAAATTATTTTATTTTTGAATTGCTTGTGATATCGGAAAACTGATTAAACACTGTTTATAAGGGTTGTCAAATTATCATATTTTAATCGTTACATATAATAAATCCTATAGCATCCACTTCAAGTTTATGCTCCTATGCAGCTTCGACTTTTTAATCATTTAATATTTGCTACAAAATTGTTTGTTATAAAATTTTATACGTACTGCAATCTAGCAGTACCATTAATAAAAATTTGATTCTCATGACGTTATATTTTAATCGATGATCTGAATCGATTATAGCATAATTATTTAATGTTTCTGCTTAATCATAAGTCACACTTGTGCAAATACACGTGCGTTTATGAATAAATTAACGTCTGCTTTCGTAGAAAGTGGTCATCAAAATAATCTCATTATTAAAATTACACTATTATTCATAATAATTGCGTACATTTAAGTACAAATTTTTCTTATGACGTTTTTTTGAGTATGTGGATTTATATTTTCATCGGTGAGGTATAATTGTAAATAATAAATTTCTGCTGAATATTTGTTTGTTCTAATTTTATTATAGAATATGTATATAAAACTCTGACGCATGTAAGTGTCGAAATCATTTACGTGCAAGTCCAAAATAAAGTAGCGTTTCGAACATTTTATGAAATCAAACAACAGGTAAAAGGTATTTTATATATTGAATAAATCTTTCTTTTAAAATACTTGTACGATTGCGTTCGTAATATTTTAGAATTAGCTTTTAGAATCGGTCAATAAATATAAACATTTTGAATAGTTTTCCATTATAAGGTGTTTATATTAAGCAGTTAATTGATTGACTAATATACTTGTTATGGAATAGTAGCAGGGTATTGACGAGCATTCTCGTCATGCTATTACATTTTTGACGCTGACTATGTAAATTGTAAGTTCATCGTCTCAAATTTAATTTTTTATTCAAAATAGCTTTAAATAGAAGAGTAGTACTTAACGTGGATGATATAGCATTTATTTTATACAACGATAATGTTAATCTGACTACTCTTATATACAAATTCCGGATTTCTTTGAGCACTGGCAATATAGTTGTAGCTTTTATAAAATAAGTAATTGTAAGTGACATTTTACTTGAATACATTTTACCTCGATTCTAGCAATACAAATTGTGCGCACAGTTCAATGAGAGCCACAGTTAACTGGTTTGTTGAAACAGTGTAAAATTTATATTTGCTTAAGACGTATTATAGTTGCATCTACGTTATTATATAAAATCCAATAACACAATGTTACAAGAAAATCACGAATTAATGGTATTTTAAGGTGATCTAGAATTGATATACTAAATGTGTTATGGATACTATGACTGTAGCTAAATGTTACTACTTTTGCAGGAGTGACACTGCTGTACTAGCCAGCAAGCCGCTCAAGTGTTTTTTTTCGCAACATATTGTAAGATTTTCCAATCATTATCAATAAAATTATGTTATAAAATTAATTACACTTTTGAAAACCTAAAAATTACAATAACAAATTAGAATTCGCAAAAAAATCGAAAATGAACATTTTTATATATCTTTACGTTTTTCTGAATATTTTGGCATACCTTATAGAAAAAATTGATGTGTGTTTGTGTGTGCGGATACAAATTTTTGTCGACGATTTCGGGAATACGGATGAAGCGATTTGAATAATTCAAAAAACATTCGTTTCGTATTTTATAAGGAGACGTGCTGATTAGTTTTTGGCAAAGGCAGGTCTAGCCGTTCCGAAGATATGGGGCAAAAAGTGCAAGGTAACTCCGTTTTTAAGAGAACGGAGTGTCCGATTTGAATAATTTAAAAAACATTTCACTTTTATTAACAAATAAAGAACTGATCAAATTTTCATGAAGGCAGGTCTAGCGGTTTCGGAGATCTTGTAGAAAAAGTAAAAAAAATGCCATTTGGTGTTAAAAAATGATCATTAGACATATGCACATCAAATTATCGGATATTTTAGAGATTTTAACAAGTATAAATTTTGTTTACATTCCCATGGGTTCCGTACCAATGTTTATCCGTTAGACTGCGACGCGGCGCTTACGCGCTTCGATATTTCGTCTCTATGCAGTTAAAGCAGTACGATTGCTTTGAAAAAAAGTTCAAAATTTGCAAAATATTTCAAAATAAAATATTCTTCAAAAAGTCTTTTTTTTTCAAAAACAGTAAATTTTTGTCAAAAATTTATAGTTTCACAAAAGTCTAATTTTTTCAGAGTAAATTTTTTTCAAAAATGTTAATCTTTTTAAAAAAATATAATTTTTGGTACGGGAAGTTCCAGCAATTTGTTTAAGGCTCAATGCCATGCGCCCCACTAGTTAAAGCAATGATCGGCACACACAGGTTGATAAATGGATGTCGCCTATAGGCGTGTATTAAAATTTTTCCTTTAAATTTTGATTATTCGTAATAGTTATAATGATCTATCTATATATCGATCTTGACTATGACGATGTACCCCACTAGATCGATTGTGTATCGGGCACGCTGTGGCATTTTACATTCTGTATGCGATGGCTTCGCGTACATCGCTTGTATACAATAATACGGGCTTGCATGCTGAGTTCAGTACAACGGAAACCGTCAGCACGTCAAGATTGGTCAGACAAAATCTTTTTTGTCTCCTTATAAAATCAATTCAATCATGTGGTTATAGCACTTCGTAAAGATTAATTAATAATCCAGCCTATGGCGGTTACACAAAGTATACAAAAATCGTTCAGCGATTTTTATGCAAACAGCGATTGCGGGAAAGGTTAAACTTTATCTCGAAGGACTTTTATGCATTTCCGGCTTGGAAATTTAGGATAAATTGTGTGTGAATAATTAATATATTGTGTGCAGTGAGGACCTAATCAATTATTTATTTATTTATTTGCAATAGTGAATGCAGTGTTAATTTTAGTGCAAGCGCTCAGATTATTATGTGCGCTAGTTCAATTTTTGTGTGAATGAACGGCATCAGGATTATATTGAAAAGGTTTTGTGTCGCTCCTGGTGATGTGAGTATATTTTGAATCTTTTAACAAAAACCAATAATTTCTTAATTCACATTTTATTGATATATAAATAATAAAAAAATATTAAAATTGTAATAAAATAAATGTGGATAATAATCGGACTTTGTCCATTAGGGCAGTTGTTTCTAACGCTTTAATACCGCGCTCTTCCGTTCTTATAAAAAAATGTTGATCCTTCCTCATTTTTTTTAACAATTTTATAAATACTCAATTGGCATAATTTATCAACTTACAAAATTATATGCAATTTTATGTAAAAAAATACATAATTATTTATACATTTTTTATATCATTTCAACATTTTTGGTTCAAATAGTATATTTCCCTGGGGCCATGTTGGATTTATAACGGTAATAACAATTAACGATATTGAACTGTTTTTTTTAAATATTTTTGTTTTAGTTTTTTTGCTAAAATAAACTAGTACTTATGTAGTTTTCCTATTATCAGCAAATTGTATACATTTTTTAAAGCACCCACATATTTCAAGTATAACGTTGATTAGATAAAATGCTCTGTTGAACATGAATCTACATAATATGTAGTGAATATAGGCTAATTCAATACTTGTAAAACCACTCAACTTCTTGAATAATTACAAGTATTATTAGAATGTGAATATGAATTATAGATGTACTCTCAATTAATTGAAAATTGATTAATTCGATCATTCTTATATATATACATATATATATGTTGAAAATGTTTAAATATATATATATATATATATATATATATATATATATATATATAATAAAATATATATTTTGTAGAGTTTCGAACAAGAATCCAAAAATAATAAAAAATAAAAAAACAAGAAAAGTTTTTAATAAACAATTTCTTTATTTAATTATTTGTTTACTGTCTAGTTTAATTGTTTATTAAAAATGTTTCTTGTTTTTTTATTTTTTATTATTTTTGGATTCTTGTTCGAAACTCTACAAAATATACACAAATCCAAGATTCTACCATTCAATAAAATATATATATATATATATATATATATATATATCTGTGTGTGTGTTAATATTAAATTTATTCCACTAATAGATTCTAACATATTCATAATACGCATGTTCTAATTATACTTCTATGTCATCAATTGAATCAAACAATTGAAATACTAATTTTGATGTCTCCGATTTACGTCATTTGAATTTGAATTTAGCAAACAAGTTTCGCTAATTTCAATATTCATTAAAACCGGAGTTAACGGTTCCAACTTTGATTTTTATCCAACAAGTTTTGTGGTTAATTAGCATATTTCTTAGGATGAAGCGATAAACTCTGCTTTGGGTCAATCTTAATATTTTAATTTAATAGCGCAAAAATGATTCTAAAATGATTTTGATGAAAAAAAAGATCTTTAGTATTTTAGGGTAACGGCGAAAAGTATTCTATTAAATGCAAAATATCAGTAGTATCAAAATCTGGGATTGTTTGGTTTAGATAATTTCTATGGATTTGACAATAGTCATCATGACTGACTAGCGCAATATTTTGCTAAACATAATTATTATTAAATTGAAATTACATTTCATCCGTAAGTACAGAGTTTTGGCTATAAAGTGGAAGCCTTTGTTTCTGGAGAAAACAATGAAAAACATCGTTTAATTTTTTTGGCTGAAAATGATACCGCGTAGGCAGCCACCTTTGGCCTAGAATACAAAATAGAGTTGACCATTGCTCCCACTTTAAATGACCCATCATGTACTTCAAAATTCAAATAACTCTCAATATTTTCATAAGCACCATCTATTTTGTATCTGAAACCATCGGTTTATTTTTTGCAAATTATCAGTTTTGGCCAATTTAAAAAAAAATAAAAACAATTAATAGCTCGAACCCAAAACAAGTACATTAATACTAATTAAGCAACGACCCATGCCATCGTACAGTAGTGGGTCTTAGTTTGTTAGACAAAGAAATGGGTGTTTCTCAACTTTAGACCGCCTTGCATATCTATTGCTAAATATGAAAACTTGCCTTCTCCATCCAAACAATGGTCTTCTTATTAGAATCCAGTAATATATATGAGGCGTTTGATATATGAGAAAGTTCCATCGTCTTTGACAGTAATCAATGACGTCAATGCGAACGAACTATTGACAGTAACATATGGCTGTTTGCTAAATTACTTCGCGCTCGATGACCGTGAAATGCGTTAGTCATCTCAAACAATTTAAATTCGACCGACTGATGAGCAAGTTTTGCATGAAAACATACTGTAATTATTTGGAAAATGATATCATAGTATAAGCAATCTATGGTAATAATAATCAATCTTTATTAGCAGATGCATTAATCGAAATAAATAGCAAACATTGAAATTGCGGTTTAAAGAGAATATAAACATTTCTCTATGTAAAAATGATTAGTTGTACAAACACCAGATTATGCATATCTTTAAATGTTTCCTGTGAGTATTGTAGCAAATTACTGCGTTTTATATAATTACCAGTTGCGGTGGAGATAGTGAAAATTATAAACTCGTGATGATAAGTTTTGCTAAGACAAAATATTGATAAAATTACTGTTTCTACTATACTATCTTCTTTACAATCCTGCAATGTAATCAATCAAGATTAACCAAATATATATTTGGATTTCTTGTTTATCCACAATTGCTAAATTTGGATATTAACGCTTCAATTCTCTTGTTACCAGCGTCGTCTAAAGGCGACATCCACATGGCTACCTATAGACATCCCTTGGTTCGACAGTTTTTTCCAATAATTTTCACTCTGAATTGATTCTTTGGGAATTATAGTTTGTTCTTGTAATCCTCGGTAAGTTCACCTCGGAATTCGAGATACCCAGCTCGTCTGTAAATACTTGTATATTGACACTCTAAATTTGTCTCGAAACCTACATAAACCCTACCATATGTAGATTTTGAGACAACTTTAGGGTGTCAATATACAAATATTTACAGACTTACAGCTGGGTATCTCGAATTCCGAGATTCTTACCTAATTTAAGCTTAAATGACTGGACTATTGTAATTTGAAATTGAGGCCTTTGGAAAAGTAATTTCTGATTTTTAAATACATTTTCATTGGTAATTGAAAAATCTTTAAATATCTTGTGTCTGGTCCTTTCAGTTATTACTAGACAGCTCGCTCTCCCGTACAGCAGTGCCACTCTTGCGGAAAACACTGCCATAGCAAAATGACTAGGTACATAATCGGTGTCACCTATTATGCAAACTCCAAAATTTGTTTGGCAATAATATCTGAAGCTTTTTTTGAATATAGAAATTAGTCTTAGAATAATTGATCATATTATTGCAATGCAATATTATTCATGAAAACTACCAATAGGCAATAAAATCGACATTCAAAGGATCAAACCATTTAACTTTTTTATTCATTATGAACATGCGAGCATATATGGATACTTCATATTTTCCACCTCATTAATACGAAATGTGAATATGTGATCCGTTTATAAATAAATATATTTATAAATATATTTATTTTATTTCCATATTTTTTGTAGATTTAGCATTTTAAGCCGCGTCCATTGACGCACGAGCTGTTGTGAATGCGAACAATTGCGTCAACAGATTCTCTTCCGATTCACATTTGTAATCCGATGCTATATTTCATATAAAATATATAAAACAGAACATTATGGGATTTTAATAATCATATCCTTTTATTCCATTCTAAGCTCTTTTATATTAAATTTTTCATACATGATAATGTTTATCAGTCTGCTGACTGCTGAGGAAGTTCTGATTACAGAATTGTTATACGTTGGAAAAATTATTTCTAATACTTTTTTATGCAAGACCAAAATTTTCAGTTTGCACCTCTTGCACTGGGGTGAACGTGTAATGAATATATTATTATAATTATTATAATACTCTCGAATGCATAATTGAATTGCAATATTCTTGAATCTGTTACTCCTGAATAAAATATGTACTGTTATGACATACTCCAGCGTACATCGCGTTTCTCCTTGACTTGTAGCTTTTTACATGCAAAATAAACAACGGGAGGCATCATAAATATTTAAATTATATTTAAACTTTATTTGCGGAATTTTGTATTTGCTAGTTTTGCGCGAGCAAATGTAATCTCGCGCGAACATCTGCTTCAGTCAGTCGAGATAGAATTGGCATCTGATGTTTGGATATTTTATTGTATATATATTATCATGTAGATATTGTTGTATACTAAAACGTTATACACGAAAATACAAAATTTTCCATGCATTGAATATTCTTTAGTAACACTAACTTAGCATATTCCATTTTATAGATAGAAATCGATTTCAATTTTCAAATGCAACCAAATAAAATTGAGCAATTTTTTAAAACAAAAATAATATAACATGAATAATTACATTAGTATAATTTTTCATAGTATTAAAAAATGACTTTATTTTTCCCATTTAATATTTAGAAATATAACTTTCAAATCAAAGCAAATGAATTTAAAATATTTCATGTTCGTAATTAGAGAACTACAAGTATTCATATATTTTATTTACATTCACCGAGTAATAAAACAGCAATAAAATAACAATTTCATTTTTATGCATAATACCGTTTTCTCTGTTTGTTACGATATGAAACGCAAATTTCTATGGATAATTATACTAGAATTCGTTCAATATTTAACTATTATTCCGCAAAATTCAATACTTTTTTCAGTAAATTCAAGTTACAATTATATTCAACAATATTTTATTTACCAAATTGAACGTTTCCATGCTTGTTTCCTAATTTTAATTTAATTTCATAATTTCATCACACGATATTATTGAAACCAATCACATTTTTGCACATTTTGACGTTTTTGCAACCGAAATTTTTGGTAAAAACAATGTTGAGTAACTTTTATTGCATTACGTATAATCAAATTTGTTAATTAAATAAAACCCAATTATTCAATATTAAATACATTATGACTAGTATCATTGATGATGAATTACATCAAAATAATTGTGTAATTGTGTAATTACACTGTAATACAATCCCGAAATCAAGTAGTTTTAGCTATTCCTAATAAAGTATAAAAATTTTAGGTAGAATTTGCCTCTCATAATGTGCCTCTCATAATTCAGGTGAGAAATAACATTCTTTAATTTAATTGGCCTCAACTCAACGAGTTTAAAATATTAACTTATTCCTTATTTTTTTGCATACTTTATTATGTAAAAAATAAAGACATAGATACTTCAAGACAATACATACTTTATCTTAATTCAGTGGTTTCCAACCTTTCTTGCACGGCCCTCCTGCTATGATAAAAAAAAAATGTTGCGCCTCTCTTTATTTTTTTCAACAGTTTAATTTTATAAATACTAAACTGATATTATCAGACTACAAATCAATACATAATATGCAATATTATGTACAAATATGCATACAAGCTATTTTAAAAAAAATTTAATATCGTTTCCACAATGTTAAATTATTAACGATAATAGTATTCTGAAAACTGATGTACGCGCTCCCCTTAGAGCAACCTGGCGCGCCTCACAGGTTGGAAACCGCTGTCTTAATCTATTAAAAGTTCTGCATAATTTTGGATTCTTTTTGCATCATATTCAATTGCAAGTATATTATATTAGTTTTAACATACTTTATATTTTAAGGCCTAATCAAATTTAATCTCCATATTATTTTTATCATCTTTATTATTTGGTATTACAATTATCTTACACTGCCTTAACTCGATCCGTGGATCTTTGGTATACTAACACTGAGCTACGCCCGCCGCAAAGTAATTGAAATATCAAATTCCCAAATGAGTATTCACATTTTAATTTGAAATACCTCCAATTATAAATGGAGGTCTCAAAAATGCGATCACTCCGGGCTTAAATAAATCGTTCAAATTCTTCCATCTAGTTCCATTCCGAGGTCCGACCTCGCGCCGTGTTACTTTCTAAGCACTGCTACCGCCGTCATTACATATTATACCAATATCTTTCTTTCTTTCATTGACGTCATTTGCTAGATAATCTATTTTGTTTATCTGACCAGGTATTGTAATTCTCAGCTCGTGCGTGACACGATTTCTCGTTCGCACATCCATCACAAATCACAATCTGGCCACAGAAGCGGTTTCTAGTTGAAAAAAGTTATGAAAAAGAATGCAAAAATAATCGCCATTCACTTTTATTAATTAGCATTTGAATTGCACAACAGATGGTTCAGTAGTCGGGTGTTATTCCATTCCATTACCTGTTTTTTATGATTAATATATTTATATCAAAGGAGTTGTTACTAGATAAGTACTTTGAATAACCAGAATTGGATCAAAGATATTTATCTAAATAACTATTTAAATAGTTTATTTCACAATCTTCGAGGTATTAACACTATAATAAAACCAGCTGCCACATTTTGCCTTAAGGCAAGTTGCATTGACTTTCCGATGTGACTAAGCGACTAAATCGGTAAGGATTTTTTTTAGGATTGAGATCTAGCAAATTTTAAAATTGTCAAAATTGAATTGTACAACAGATGGTTCAGTAGTCGAGTATTATTCCATTCCATTACCTGTTTTTTATGGTTGATATATTTATATCAAAGGAGTTTTTACCAGATAGGCACTTTGAATAATCAGAATTGGATTGAAGATATTTATCTAAATAACTCTTTAAATAGTTCATTTTATAATCTTCAACGTTTTAAAACTATGATAAAACCAGCTGCTACATTTTGCCTTAAGGCAAATTTTTGAAAAAAAATTACTTCGATGAAATTAGATTTTTGAGAAACTATAAATTTGACAAAAAATTACATTTTTTTGAAAAATGTTTTCTTTATTTTGACATATTTTGGAAATTCGAAACCCATAGGAATGTAAACAAAATTTATATTTATTGTTAAAATCTCTATAAAATATTTGATAATTTTGTGTGCATATGTTTAATGATCATTTTTGACCGCCAAATGGCATTTTCTTTTTACTTTTTTCATTAGATCTCCGAAACCGCTAGACCTGCCTTCATGAAAATTTGATCGATTCTTCATCTTGTCAATACAAGTAAAATGTTTTTTGATTTATTAAAATCGGACGCTCCGTTTTCTTAAAAACTGTGTTGCCGTTTTTGGCACTTTATGCTCCGTATCTTCGGAACGGCTAGACCTGCCTCCGCCAAAAACTAATCAGCACGTCTCCTTATCAATACAAATCGAATGTTTTTTGAATTATTCAAATTGCTTCTCCGTGTTTCCGAAATCGACGAAAATTTGTATCCGTATACACATACATACACACACACATACATCCATTTTTTCTAAGGTGTGCCAAAATATTCAGAAACCTCTGAAACGTAAAGATTTACAAACATTTTCATTTTTTTGCGATTACTATAACTTGCCCTACGGGAAGTTTATTAGTAATTCTACAATATTTAAGGCGTTCCTTAGGATCATCAGCATTAAAACGGTTCCAGATTTTTGGCAAAAACTTTAACTGCTAATTCTTAAGAAATGGTTCGGCCGATTCTCGAAAATCAATTCGACTCCTTACCGAGTTTCATCAAATGGCTTTTAAAGTTTTAAAATTGATGCAGCCGTTTTTGAGAACGTGGACTGAAGATATTTTACCAATGCTTTTTCCAATTTTTGTGCCAAACTATTCAGAATGACTTGAAATATCGGGAAAACATAACATTAGCAAATCTGGTTTTCTGGAGAACAAAATTTATTTCCGGAAGTCAATAACAGTAACACCTTATGCAGGATATTCGCTAAAATAGAATATTACCAAAGTTCATTTACTAATATTGTTATCTTTATATCAAAATAAACTTAAATTTTTCCCTAGACGTCAGAAATTCATAAATGCAAAATATTTTCATTGTTAAATGTTACATTTTGACGTTCTTATTCTAAATATACGGTTGGATTTAATTATTATGTATTTTAATTAATGCGTGCGCCTTCATTGCGAGGTTCAATAATCTTCGGATTTTCCAAACAAAGCCATCGAAAACAACAAAGTAAATTTAAACAAAATGCAAATAAATGCAGAATACCTCCATGTGTATCCATGAAAATGGGTTTTCAGCATTGTTATCGGCATATTTTTGAAAGTGAAATATAGTCATACGTACATGATGGATCATACATCTAAATATTCATAAACTATCACATTAATTTTGTGCCAATATATAAGTTGCCATACTCGTGCTAGTAAAACTTTTAAACTTTACCTTAATCTACATCTTTAAGATAAAACAAAATGAAAATTTATGTTCTATTTATTTTTGTTCCAGGACCCTGAGCAAAGACCACTTGGAAAATACTGGACGAGTAGAAAACATTCTCATAGAAGCGATATGTCTCTCCTCAAATTTTTAGCCATCGTAAGTTCTATTTTCTCATTGATGTTTTATCATTAATTTTTCACAAAATAAGTGGATGGTGTATAAGTATCTAGTATATTGAGTTCAATGGTTTGTTCTGTTTTGAAATGGATATTTAAAATATCATTATTAAATCACTTCAAAGGAATGTTGATAACAAATATTGTTCTTGATATTGGCACTGACCTATCCAATAATGCATTTTTTCACTGGCTTATATATAACTAGTTAATGTAAACCTTTCTTAGAAATACATTTCCCGATTGCATTGTTTATCTTGTGAATATACAATTAGCGACCTTATCTCTATTTGAATTGTTAGCCATAATTAAGAACGGCGTTGGTATTTTTATACCTCGTCGTATAAAAAATGCGAGTACAAACAATTTATTTGTAATTTATAACCGCGGGACAATGGACCGATTTAAAATCTTAATATTTTTATGGCGTTGACGTAAATTTTTTATTTGGTATTCGAATTTAATGGAATTTTTTTTTAATTTTAATTCACAAATATCGTAAACTTATTAGTACATTCAAGCAGTATTCTTGTCTACGTTGAGTTGCTGTCGTGGTTTTAGTTAAAGGAAATATAGTGAAAGCAATTATTCTTTGGTGAAAATTATATTATTGGAAATACGGTAAATACTAAGTTAATTATACAGTGCAGTGTTTTCCTATTTTTACGAAAATTATTCAAATAATCTTCAAAATTTATAAAGTGTTAACTTTTGTAATATTCTTCAAAAATAAGTTCAACATTAGAACTTTTTTTAATCAGCAAGATTATACTTTTGTTTTTTTTATCGCGTTATGGAAGAATGTAACAGTTTAAATCGCTTTAAGAAAATTTGTGACCTATGATGTATTATTTCATACATTCAGATCTCTTTAGGCAATTTTTATTAAAAATCTGTTTATTTAATCGACTACGTATCACTCACTGGAATGATCCTGATATATACATTTAATTCATTTTTGTATTTCTTCTAAAATACATATTGGATTTTTATTTTTTTATATTTTAATATTAAATTGTAGCTTATAGAATTATATGTATGTTGATTCATTAAGATTAAAAAAAATAATCTTCTGCAAATTACATTAAAAGCATAAATATTTCAAAATTCGATACATCCAGTTTAAGCATATGATACAAAAAAGTTAAAACATTTTAATAGCAAAATATAAATTTGTCGCATCCTGACAAAAATAATTCTTCAGATAGATTCGAAACATGACTCTTTTACTCGAGGAATTTTAGAATTTAATTGGAATTCATATTGTTCGACAATTTAAATATACGTGAATGATTTAAATATTCAAAAATCAAACGAGCAAATTTTTTTGAATCTTAAAATAAAGAATTTTTGGGCACAGTCGGTACTTTGTACTCATATCTTGCCATATGTTATTTCAAACATATACGACTGCTGAAGACTTATGAGAAAAATCGTGCAATAATGTGACGGTCATGGTAATAAACCTAATGAGACATTTATTTTATTGCTTGTTTTATCGTTGGAACAAAATAATAACGAATCTATGCAATTACTTCAACAATTGAAAATAAGAGAAAAGTCTGGTTATCAGAAAATTCGAGACCTTATCAGTGCATTGTGTTTTGCACCGATAATTGCGCACAGGTGTATGAGAAACTTATATGAGCAGACTCAGTATGGTTTTATGATAAGATTTCAAGTGGTGTTTCCTCTTATACTAAATAACAGTGTTTATTATTAATTATAAATTATTAAAATATGGATATATGCAGTTCGCACTACCACATGTAAGATTAAAAAATAGATTAAATTGATACGGCTTTCCGTGTAAATTAACTTTGATTGCTCATTCTTACGCCTTTCATTTAATTTTACTTCAGAAAATGATTTTCTTGATGAAACATTCATGACTTCAAGTTATTTTAATTAATCTACCTGAATGAATTCTCTATCATAAAAATTTTGTTTCGTGTAGCTACTAGTAATTTCGCGGCCAAAGAACTTTTGACAATTTTGTGTATGTCCAATTTAAAAATCTCGGACGAATTTTTTTTTTGAGATTTTATTCGTATTCGCATTTATATGCATGATTTTATCTGACTCTTATGGAAAGTGAGTCTAAACATTATACCGATACATAATTCACAAATACGAACACCGATAATTTTAATCTTACGTTATCTCTAATAATACTTGTACTAAAAATATCGATTGGCAATCCATGATAATAAATTGATAAATATATTTACACGAGATAAATAAAAATTAAACAGATAACTCAAGTAAATATTGAACCAATGAGTTTTGGGTATTTGCCCATAAATTAAAATATAGAAAAACTTGGGCTTATTATAAATAATGAATATTGTTTACCATTGGAACTCTGTATTGAGCAATAATAGTACGTTGTTAGTTGTTGATATAAATAGCAGAAATTTAATTAAAATATTGTCTCAATGTCTAAATTACCTGACCAATTATTCTTCTTCCTCAGAATGCTTTAGAATTGAGCGCTCCAGCTAGTCCCGCACTTCTGCAAACGCGCACCGGTGCCAACTCTTCGGCGGCTTCTATCGTAGCTACTCAGCATCCGCAAGTAGCCATGGCCGTGGCGACCAGGGAAAACCTAACTTCGCCTCAAATAAATAATAATACAACTGCCAATGTTAACGGTAACACCGTTAGCAACGGAACCATGCAGGTTAACAATGTAACATCTCCTAATGGTGAATGGATCCAACTGTCTGGACATCCTGCTAGCATTGCACCTTCTGCACCAGGTAAAAAAAAAGTGCTAATAATACTATATTGTCACAAAAATGCAGATTTTGTTCATATTTAAACTAACTCTTCTGCCAATCAATTTGTTGATGATCATAATTTTAATTTTAGGAGCTGTTTGTAAGCGACTCTCTCGCGCTGAAGGAGATCACGAAGCCCGCGCTTACCGTGAATTGGCCGCCGATCCCCTAGCATCCCGGTTAGCTCCAGCCTACTTGGGCGAATTCTCCTCCGCATCCAATTCTGAAGACCGTTACATTGAATTGGAAGATCTTCTCCATGGGTTCCGAGATCCTCATGTAATGGATATTAAGATTGGACGACGAACATTTTTGGAAAGTGAGGTCGGAAACTCGGAAGCGCGGAAAGATCTTTTCAGGAAAATGGTTGAGGTTGATCCTGAGGCACCAACGGCCGAGGAAAAGGCAGCGGGAGCTGTTACCAAAATGAGATATATGACGTTTAGGGAGCAGTTGAGCAGCTCGCAAAGCAAGGTAGATACAAAAATTAACTTTCGTAAAATGAACCTTATTTTTTCTTTGAATTAAGTTCTTATCTAATTTATATATTTTTATTACAGGGATTTCGTATCGAAGCTCTAAAAGTGCGCGGATCAGCACCTCTAAGCGATTTGAAACGAGTACGCTCTCATAGTGATGTTGCACGAACTGTTTCCTTATTCCTTGGAGGGGGAGGTCGTGCCAAGCGATCTGATGTTGCTTCTAAACTCCTTAAGAGACTTCGCGAAATGAGAGATTTAGCTGAGAGATCCGAATTTTTTGCCACACACGAAGTTGTAGGTAGCAGTGTGTTTGTGGCTTTTGACGATACCAAGGTTGGTGCCTGGTTGATAGATTTTGCAAAAGCTAGAAGACTACCGGAAGGTGTAAGAGTAGATCATAGATCACCGTGGACGCCTGGAAATCATGAAGAGGGCTTCTTGCATGGCATGGATCAACTAATTGAGGTGAGTTGAATAACTAAGATTTTATTTCATATCGAATACATATGAGAAATTAAATATATTTTTCCAAAATGTTACTCATATTAACATATTATCTTTCTGGATTTTTTCAAAGAATATTTTCATTTACCATAGAAAACTTTTTTTAACCAGTTGTTGATGTATTGTATTACTTGTGTAGACTATTCGATAACCATTTAATTTATTTTTCATTTCTTTTCCAGGTTATTGAAGAAGTCCACCAATCAATGACATGTCCATCGATCAAAAATTGTTCATCTCGCTCTGCAACACTTGTATCATGAGCAATTAAGATGGATGAATAATAAATACTCAATTGCATGTTACTTGAACATTATCTAACCGTGAGGTGCTTCTGCGAATAAATGATAGTACAAAACAGTTTTGTGGATTTGACATCAATGCGTTTTCATAGAAATATGAATCCGTGTTTACTAGTGACGGTTTATAACTTTTATAAAGTTGTAATATTATTACAAATTTGCGTTTTATGGACAAATGTGGTTAAAACAAAATTGTGTTTATATAAGAATTATGAATTTGGAAAGTATATATTTTCCAATATATACTTTTATTATTATTACATTAAATATGTAATCTTGATAATACTGTTCGTTTCTTATAATTTATTATAAGAAACATGCGATAAAATTAATTTTCAGTATATAAAATTAAAACAACACGTTCAAGTGTTGTCATAATTATTTATAATATTTATTACTCAAAATACCAATTTCTATGTTTCGAATAAGATTTTTGTTGTAAACACAGTTGTTCTGACTTAGGTATGTGAGCATTGCTCCAATCATGCATTTCTTTAAACTTAAGTTTGTTTCTGGAAAAACAATTAGATATTTAAGTCATGACTGTGATATGTAATGTAACTTATGAATTAAGTGCATTGATTACAAACAAACCATTCTTTTAGTTCAGAGTTTTCATGCAATAGATCAGCAGGGCTAATGATTTAAATTCGAATTTACCAAAGTTACAAATTCCTACATTTCAGTATTTATAAATTTAATTTAGATTTATTAGTAGTAAATTAATAACCAGTGTGTTAATTATATTGAATTAAATTTTATTATATAATACAATGATTTTAATATGATTATATATTAAAAAGAGCTTGAAAGAATGCTTTTTGCATCAAAATTAAATTAGCAATCATTAAATAAGTAATTTGGTTGTAAAATGTACTTATATGTGTATTTATTTTATATTTATAATATAAATCATGCTTTATAATCGTATTATTTTATTTGAATATACACGTATACCTATATTAAATCTTTTTTTTCAGGTTCAATTTTTTTTTAAACAAAATTTAAAATATATTTTTGATAGCTGCTCAAGACACAAATTAACTTGTAATATCAAAATAGTGTCTAAAAAGTATATATAAACTATAAACTATTTTGTACATTAAAAAAACGTGAATAATTAAAAGTTACTGTTATTATTAAGAATATAATAACTAACAAGTTAAAATCATGGATGGTAGTCCATGGATTTAACTCGTTATTTATTATATTCAAATTGAGTAAAATGTGTTTATAAAAATCATCAAAATTATTTGCATAACTGAGGATTTAAAGCTATAGCTGCAAAGCTGCAAATGTCTTTGAAAGATTTTGGAACCATTACCTAATAATAGTTGCTTTATCGTACGCTCTGCATATAGATGTATGTTTTATGGTTTATTTAATTTCATTGAAATTAAATGTCAACAAATCAAACAGTTATGTTTTAGAGAGTATAGAATATTTATTTCATAGTTCCTGAATAACACACATTTATAAAAGTATAAATATCATTGCTCACTTGTTCAAGTCACAAATAAAAAGCTGAATCACATTTTTATACAAGAAGATTTGAATATACGTGGAGTTGTATAAAGCAGTTTTATATTAATATATCAATATGCTATTTTACAAATAGTTTATATAAAATGGTCTTTTGTGATGGAGATATTAAGGTGCAAATTCATCGTCTTCCCCACCTGGAGTGTAGGATTTTTTGTCATCTTTAAAAACGTTGTCAATAGATCCGTTATTCATTCGTTCCAAGAATGATGAGAGTAACTTCTTATTTAACTTATCTGTTAGTGTTCGATCAACCTCTGGTGGAACATCTTTCTCAGTAACTTTAGATTTTATTTCTTCAGTTTGCTTAGGATTTTCTGTCATGTTGTCAATAATTTGTATTCACAAAACAATAATGTTATTAAATTCCTTGCTTCGTTTTGTTTATTTTTTACACTATATATTTGGACGTGTTTTTAGGTTTTAAAATGGTTTTGGGAGTAAACAAGTACAAACAATTGTTTGTCTTAAGACGTCAAAAATTGACATTCAAGAATTTCCTCAAACATGGTGACATTATAGATTAGTACGAGAGGCAGCGACTACAATAGGAAGCGACACTAAAAACTTTTGGATGGTTGATTTATACGTTATTTTAACCAGTATTTTAAATCATTTTAGCTCATTCTGAAGAAGTTATGATAAATTGTGGTAAATGACATGTATAAATTTATTTCTGTTTCTACAGTAACGAGTCTTTTAATACGAGTCTAAAATACATATAAACATACATACACACTTCTTTTATCTATGCATATAAATATATATAACAAATCTAATATAAATATAAATAAACATAAATAACGAGTCTAAATATAATAACCTAAATAACAAATTTAAATATAATAACAAAACGAGTCCAAATATAAATACATATATACATACATACACTCTTTTAGAATATATTTAAATATTTTTATACGTATGTTTAATTTAGTTTTCTTTTTTTTCTATTATATTTAGCTACAGAAATATGAATGTAATCAATTTGCATATTTCTTAAATACAGAAAAATACATTTTTGTTTATTTTAATAGTAATATACTAGAAGTTAACTTACAAAGTTTAAAAACCTGTACTTTTTGCATGGTGACAAATATATGTATTTATATTTATTTTCAACTGTCAAATCTATGACAGAGAAATTCAAACCAAATTATTCAAACGTGATTCTGATAGTTGCTTAAAATTTTGTTATATAAGAGTGAATCTTTTATTAGAGCATGACAGTGTGACAATTTTAAATTAGCCGCGTGCATCTACGAGAGAAATATGTCGCAGCCGCCTTGCCTATTGAGCTCAAGAGACTGGAGTGAACAACGTCACAAGCGTTGTAAAGTCCTCACCCTGCCATCACGTGGTCTCTGAGTGCTATCAACGTCTGAACTGTCAACCTTGATTACAGGCAGATTTGTCAAAAATATGTGAAATGAAAGTGAATTTTATTTAAATATTCGCATCCAAAGTATAACAATATAATAAATAATTGAAAAAATATTGTTATATTTTGCATAGTATTTATTATATGCATTGGTTTTATTGACATGGTTGTAAAAGCAGCGATAGAATTTCTTAGGTAAATCAAAGAAGATAAATGGAAATATTTATCTATTTGTGATGTGGAATGCTATAGGCTTGAGAAAACAATCAAATTGTTATTGTGTCAAAAACTGTTTATTATACCCATATATATTTTGTGTGTTTGGGTGTTTACTATAATCCAACAATAATAAAAGTTTGATACATTTGTATTAATTTGTAGTAACTATTAATTTTAGAAGATCAGTGCTTACATGCACATGGCATATATAATATTGCTACGAGATTGAAGATTGAAGAAATTTAGTTCATTATTATTGAATAATAGCATTCGAACCAATTTCTTAAAAAATCTACCTTTTATCGCCCATCTAAATTTTGGGATTAATAAATAGTTTAGATTATGTTTTGTACACATTTGTAAATGCTTCAACTTTTTAGCATTGTGACTTTATGTCATAAACTATTTTTATTTGAGGCAACTGATAGTTTTTTGCTGTTATTAAACATCTTCGACAATATAAATATCAAATTGAATTATAAAAAGTTTTAAGTAACATGCATTTAAGACACAATTTTTTTTAGATCTTTACTATTGTATATATCTTATTTATTATTTACTATAATGTATATCTTTTTACTGTTTTGTAGGAAAGCTGATGTTATAAAGGAACAACTAACAAAATTTGAGCCTAAAGATTTTGCAACTTTGAATGTTATTGCTTTGCTAAAAGAGCTTCAGCATATTTATCGTCATATATTCGTTATTGACATTAACTATGCACTCACTAATAAAATTGATCAAGATTTATGGAATATTGGGTTCAAACTTTGTATTTCATCTTTGCAAGATCTGATAAAAAATAAGGAGGTTTGTTTAAAATAATTTCGTACTATACACTATAATAGATTAATGGATTATAGTTTTAACAAATAAATGTCATATTTTTTGAAAACTTAATTTTGATTTAATTTAAGTACAATGTCACACAAAAGTCTGAGTTTTCTGCTGTATTATCGTGGTATTTATCTGGCGCATCAGGATTTTACATAAATTTACTGAATTCTACTTGGGGTGCTCATAAAGATGTGCTGCAAATCAGGTATTATTTAAGAATTGTATATAATTTTTTTTAAATATATATAAAAGTAAGTTATAAGTAGTAATATATAGTGTGGATTGTTATTATTGCTTTTATTCCAGTACGGATTTGAGCTTTGTAGGACAATACTGCCTTGTTCATCTTGGAGATCTGGCTAGATATCAAGGACATAAAGAACAGGCGCAAAATTTTTATGAGTATGTATTGATTGAAAAACTTTATTAAAATACTGTTTGAAGTTTACTTAATCAAGATTTACATTTGTTTTTTTTTTTTAAGGCAAGCAATCAAAGTAGCACCAGCTTTTGGTCATGCATACAACCAATTAGCTCTTTTGGAACCCAAATCATCTTCAATGGATGCGCTTAAGATTTGCTCTTTGTATTGTCGAGCAAATTCATGTGTGCAATCTTTTATGCCGGCGCATAATAATTTGATGAGATTATTGGAAGAATATAAAACATTGTAAGTTGTTACTATTATTCAGTATTATTATTATATTAGTTACATATATTTTGTTTTAGTATCGATTAATAGTTTAGTAGTGTTTGTGATTACACTCACAATAAAAAAATCTAATTAATTCAGTTATTTATTATTGAATACTATATTGAGTACTATATTACTGATTTTGTAAAAAATTTACATCTATTTAGTATATAAAATACAATACATATAAATTACAAGTATAATATTATTATAAATATTATTCCATGAAATTCATTTAGTAGCAATGTTTTTTTATCTAAGACTTCTTGTTCTCTTTTATTATAGTGAATGCAGCAAAATTTCTACTCTAGAAGACTATATAAGCGCTTTTTTAAAACAGATGTATTATGTTTTGAATAATTCAATTTATGACATGAAAATTGAATGCCCTGTCATGAATCAACTGAATAATAAAAAGTGTATTGAGGTATGTGTTATTTGTACTCAACTAATTTATATTTATAATTTTAAAAAAATTAAAAAATATTGATATTTGTGAGCAAGCTTAAAATAACATTAATTAGTTATATAAGTATTATTTATTTCTTTAAGGCGTTTATACTTGTTACATATTCCTATTCAAAAATTATTGATGCAGTATGCAAGGAATCAGAATTATCAAAGGATGAGGAAATTTTGAAACAAATTATTCTAACACACTACATACATTTATTTTATCTATTGGAAAAAACTGATGAATCGTATAAAACAGGTACATTAATCATACTTATTTACTGAGAATAATATATATTAATTATCGATAATAATGATAATTAATTTCTTCAATATGCTAAATTATTCTCATTGCAGCTTACTTGTTTCTGTCATGGATTATGAGGAAAGAACATCTGATTGGTGAAACTATTTTTAAAAAATCATTTAAAATATTGGAAAATCATTTTATATTATTAACAAGCAATGTAATTGAAAGTGATTCTGGAATAGGTAATTAAAGCTATAATAAGCATAATATTTAATCGATTGTGGTTTTAGTAATATTATTGCATTGCAGATGATAGTGATGGTATACTTGATGAAGAATTGGAATTGACAAATTATATACCCTTTGGTTTGACTCAAAATAAAGAAATTTTGTCAGATTTTACTCAAGATGAGGTATGTGGTGAAAGAGTCTTGAAATGGACTAAGCTTATATTGGATAAAATTTCAAAAAGGTAAAATAACATTTTATTACTATCAAATTACTATTTATAAAATTTTATAAATTAATTTAATCACTATTATTGCAGTGCTGATGTATTTGAAAATACTTCAAATGCAACAAATAATGATGAAAAGGCTGCTATAGTGAGAATGATTCAACCGGGCTCTGCTAAATCTAAACCAAAAAGAGCTAGAACTAATGTCGCATTGCAAACAATTCTTCAAATGAAACATAACTTAGACTTGAAAGAAGAATACGATTCAAACAATGAACGAGAAGACAAGGCTATGAAGTCTTTGTATAGCCTTCCAATAGAATCACCTACGGTTTTATCTACAGATTGGATAGATGAAAACAGTAAAAGTATGCAAGATATTGATTTAAATCAATCAACATCAATTTATAGCAATTTTAGCTTTCTTGAGGAAAACGGTTTAAATTATACATCTCTCTTATCTGGTATGAATGGCACTTCAAGTCTGTGGGGCAATGGTGGCGGATATTCACTATTTAGTGGTCATTCGCCATTGGCAAAATTGTTAGAGGATCAAAAGACAAAATATGATACCAATGTCATAAAATAGGATCTATATTGGAATATTCTGGTTGGAACATGAAGTTGTAGAATTGCTTGCAGCAGGTCTTGAGAGTCCTATTAAGCAGCTATAAGATGACAATGGTGAAAGTAAGCATTTTTTAAAGAAAATCGTCGTTATAGACCACAAGTTATTAGTAATGAATCGCAAGGATTTGATATTATAAAATATAAAAGTAAAGGAAATAGTATAATTTTATATTTTATAAATTCATTAATTGCATTTGTTAAAAGGTATAGTTGCAAATGCTATAAAGGTTAGAAAAAATTAAATCATAATTGTATAAACTATGAAAATGAAGCTGGGATTGCCTACTCATCTTTTGGTAGAAGAAGTTCAAGTACAGTATAATTAAATTTGTTTAGTTAATAAAAATTTGTTGTTTTATAAAATTTGGTAAATTGTGAAAAAATTGTAAAAATTTGGTTTAAATTTTGTATCATTGCTGCTAATTTATTTGATTAAATTATGCAAATGATATATATCTTTTAATATTATTAGTGCTGTGTGTGATGCAACATCAGTTTTATAACTATACTCTAACCAAAATTAACTTCATATTATTATTCAATATTTAATACATATATTTATATGAATTTTGAATGCAATTATAAATATAATAATTTTGTGATTGCATTCTGAACAGGAAAATATTATATTCTTGACAGAAAGTATGTTATTATTTTTATTATAGCTTTTATGTATTTTTATAAACGAATACACCATTTAACTCAGTAAATTGTTTTAATATAATAAGAATGTTATCTGACACAGCTTGGTAAATATTTTGTATTTATGCATGACTTTTGACATATTGATAATTTTATTTTGTTTCATTTTTTATTGAATCTTTTGTTGTAATTATTGAAACTGTTGAAATAGCTATTACCATATGAATTTCTCAATAAGACCAAACCTTCGACATATTTGGCATTCTGATGATCTCAGGCACCATGTAGAAAAATTAAAATGTATTGCCTATTAATAGTTAATAAAAAAATATAGTGAGAGTAAGTGGCATTTTACTGCCACTTTATTTATATACCATTTATACCATTTAAATACCATTTTATTCGTAATTTTATTCTGCATCTTTTGTACGAACAAAGTTTTTTCGTATCTTTTAAGGCAAAAGACTTAAGTAACATGCACTTCTTCGTGTCAAGAAATGGAAAATTAGTTATTTATATAAATAAATTTATAAATATACTGCAGTATCTCTAGGGCCTTATGGACAAATACAGATTATTCAATTTTGTACAAATTTAATAAACATATATGAAAATGAACAGGCGCCTACATACTTTGATACATAACACATGTTAGCATTTTCTAAAAACACGGACAATTATCATATTTTGTACGTCTAAAGATCTTAGAATGTTAGTTTAGACAATGGACTTTATCAATAAGCCAATTTTCAGTAAAATTATCAAAAATTTTGGTTTCCAATTAATTGCGAGAAAATAGCCTGGCCAAATTGACCAAAATCAATTTTGAATTTTCAAAAGCGGTTTAAGATTTTTGGCTAAAACGTAGACGAAAATTTTTGTATTTTTCCGTTATTTATAAAGAAAGGGCTGGACCGATCGTTACGCAAATCTAATCAATACGAATCCTCATTGAGTTACATAAAATATCATCTAAATTTTTAAAATAGGTTCAGCCGTTTTTTAGAAAACGACGACGAAATGTCAAATTTCGGCTCATGCAAAGCATAGCCCTTTTTGTATTTTATTTTAAACGATTCGAATCGCTTGACACATCGAGAAAGGATAAAATTTTTTTAAAAAAAACTAGAATTTTCTTCTGAAAATCTTAATTTCTTCTACAGGAAATGATAAAGATTACTTCCTTCTACATATTTTAACTTTCGTATCATCTGTCATAAAATTTCGATAATGTTTCAAGATGTAAAAGTATTTCATTTAGAAATATTAAATAAAACACTATTATTTTTTTCAATTTAATAATCCTAAACAATTCAATGCGAATATAATAAAAATAATTTCCTCATTTTTCCATATATTTTATGTAAATTAATTATTTAGCCAACCTTGTCTTGTGACATATTGACTTGAGTTGACATTGCCTTGTTGCAGCTTGCAACTAGTGGCAGAGGAATTTGCAATGTTGATGAAAATGTCATATAAAACTAATATAACATCAATCTTATTTTGACTCACCACTCCTCTATTTTTAATTACTTAAATGAATATTTTATAACTAGTTAATTTATAATGGTTTAAATTTATAGTGCATATGTTGGTCGTAAAAGTAAGACGTGTTCGACAGCTTAATTAAAGTATTTATGGAGAAGTTAACATATCAGCGTTGATATGTTTTCAGCTTTCAAAAGACTAGCTGGAAAAGCAGAAAATGCTTCGAATGCCCCCCCCAGTCACCAGGCCATGCCTGGTACTCTGCAGAAGAAATTTTCGAAAGGAGTTCAATATAACAGTATGTGAATAATATAGTATTAATAGAAATAGAATATTAAAAAAATATACTATGTTAGAGAAAGATTTTACCTTAAAGTCTGAAGATATTTTAAAGGTTAGGTTATCTCATAAAATCTAGGTTTCAAATAATTCAATACTAACTTTATATACCCATTTTATGTTATATGATACTTTCTATTATATTCCTAATTTGGAGATTCAATCAAGTTTGAGATTGACAAATTCTATAATTATTGGTAAAAATGCCTGTTGTCTTTTGTACATATGGTGTTCTTGATGAATTGTTCTTTTTTCTTTATAATATTAAAATACCACAATCGGATTGCTCTAAACCACAAAAGTTAGCTATCGTTTTGCAAATTAGGTACTGAACTTTATATATACAATATATTAATCTTGATTGATAATATATGAAAAAAAGATATCCATCCAGCGTATATATGTATTTAATGTTTATAAGAATTATTGTATCTAGGTATTCAGTGTCAAGTTTATCCTTATCTATGATTTTTTGCTCAAATTTCCATATATTTATAAATATGGAAACTGTTTTGCTCTATTTGTTTTTTTACTAATTTTATTTTACTGAAATATTAAAATTTATATCCTATGTTTTAGTGAAAATCATAATCAAGGGCGATCGCAATGTTGGTAAATCATGTTTATTAGAACGCTTGCAAGGCAGAGGTTTTATAGAAGAATATGTTCCTACTGAACAAATTCAAGTTGCTTCTATTCAATGGGCCTTCAAAGCTACAGATGATATTGTAAAGGTAATTTTTATTTATTTATTTATTTATTTATTTATTTATTTGATATAATTCATACATACTGTATCTCAGTCAGACAATTGTTCTGGTATGAGAGATCACAGCAATTATAACAAAAATAAAATCTAAATTTTATGTAACAGACTTAAACATTAAGACATATATTTTTACTTATTACTATTATACACACATATATACACACACAGAACGCTTGCGTACATACATACAACTTATACTTAATTGTAATTAATATTTTTACAAAACAGAAGTAATATAGTATTTAAAATAGGGATTTTAACTCATTTGTTTCATTTGTCTCTTATGTAATTTTTCAATTTAATTTTAAGTCTGTCATTGTCTTTGGTTCGTCCGGTAGTTTATTGTAAAGGCTGCTTGCACTTCTCAGAGGACTTGCAAGTCCTTTACTCGATTTAGCATGTTTCATGTGAAAGTTTCGGTTTTGTCTCGTTTGATGGTCGTGTATATCTTGGTTTGTCTCTATTGTGGTGCAAGTTTTGATTTTGTTATTTTTTATATTGGGTTGAATTAGGTTGAATAAAACTATATATTCATGAAAAATTATTTAAAATCTAATGTTATTTTAGATCTTAACTGAATATCATTAAATACTTATTACGACTTTAATACTACTATTAAGAATGTGTTAAATATATTATGATCATTGTTTAGTTTAAGTGAGCACAGGATGCAGGTGCAAATCTTATAATTTTTCCATATTTTTTCCATAGCTTAAGTAAATATGCCGCATCCCTTTTTATATTTTTTGTTATTATTATATCTTTTTAAACCTATGTATTCATGTACCAAATTGTGGGATTATAGAAAAATCCCATAAATAAATATTCCCAAAATTTTATAGTAGTATTAGTGTATATTTGTGAACTCTCCCTTCCAGGCAGTTATAATAATTTTTATATTATATTTTAAAATTTAAAATTCAGTATTCAGTTAGTCACAAAACTAGGCCCATCAACCATTTAATAAATATTTCTATTTTTATGTCAATTGTTGTTTTTCATTCTTCCAATAATTACAGTGCACACAAGCCTTTAAAAGTGTAGTAATTAATAATATACATAGCGAAAACAGCAAAAATTAATAAAAAAAATCAATTAGTTTAATTAATAATGTTAATTTGGAGTTATTTTGGCAACACTTCTGAAGACCATATAGAATCTATTTATTTTGAACCTGTTTTTATATATTACTTTCAGGTGGAAGTATGGGATGTTGTTGATAGAGGAAAATCCAGACCCCAAAATAGTGGTTTGAAATTATCTCTGACGACAAGTCCTATAGATGCATGCCCACCTGCTCTGGACGCTGAATTTTTAGATGTTTACAAAGGCACTCATGGAGTTATATTGATGATGGATGTTACTAAATCTTGGTGAATAAAAAAGATAGAATATGTTTATAAAATAATAATATAAATTTATGCTAAATGAATTTTTATATATTGATAGGACCTTTGACTATGTCTGCAAGGAGCTGGCTAAAGTTCCTGATGATATTCCAGTTTTAATATTAGGCAATCATTGTGATATGAGTCATCATCAAGCAGTTACAAATGGACAAGTATCAGGATTTATTGAAAATTTTATGTAAGTTGTTTATTATTCTATGTGCTAGAATTTTATTTTTTTGCTAATATACAAGAACAATTACTTGGCTTAATAAAGTAACTTTTCTAGAATAAAAAATGATCTTATCATTACAACTTTAAGCATATAAG